TGGTCTTCCCAATTACTTGTTATGAATCAGAAAGTTGGACAATGACCAGGGAGGATAGAAGGAGAATTGATGCCTTCGAGCTGTGATGCTGGAGAAGAGTATTGAGAATACCATGGACTGCTAGGAAAACAAACAGATTTGTCCTGAAAAGGGTTAACCCGGGTGGTTCCTTGGAGGCAAGGATTCTGAGGCTCCTTCTAACATACTTTGGACTTGTGAGGAGAGACCAGTCCTTGGAGAGGGACATCATGCTTGGGAGGGTGGAGGGCCAGCGCAGGAGAGGAAGTCCCTCTATGAGGTGGATTGATTCAGTGATTGGGATAACTGGGATGGGAGTGTCAGAGGCAGTGCGATTGGCACAGGACAGAGCGGAGTTTAGGGCTGTTGAACATAGGGTCGTTATGAGTCGCAAGGCGACTCGACGGCACATAACAACAACAACAACCATCAGGGACCTCTACAAAATTCTGAAGAGTAATGGTGTCAGTCTAATATTAAAGTGTATGGGATTCAAGTCATCATCTTTCCAAACACCTGTTATGCTTCTGAGAGCTGTACATTGTATATGGATGACAGAGGAATGAATGCCTTTCAGTTGTGTTGGAGAAGAGTACATGAACTGCCATAAGAACAGATATGTCTTGAGTAAGTAACCAGAGCTGCTTAGAGGGAAGGATGGTGGAACATCTTCTCACATACTTTGGATATGTTGTTAGGAGAAGCTACTCCTCAGCAGGCAAGGATCATCATGCTTGGAAACCTCAGTGAAAGAGAAGATGATCCAATGAGATGGATTAATACAGTGGCTGTGACAATGAATTCAAGCGTTTCATTGATGATAAGGAACGTGCATAATAGGACAAGATTCAGATTTGTTGTTCATAAGGCCTTTACTCCTAAGCCATCAAATATCCCTTTCTATAGCTATTAAAGAACCTGTGGTGCAGTGGCTAAAGCACTTTTCTGCTACTCACAAAGTCTGTGATTTCAAATGCATCAGGTGCTCTGTGTAGTTGTACTCGTCTGCTTCTGTAAAGATTTACAGCCTTGGAAATCTTATCGACAGTTTTGCTCTCTCAGGGTAACTATAGAGGGCCACTCTTAGTTTTCTCACTGACCTTGAGTGCACCGACTCACAGTTGACCCCGCAGCGAGTTTTCTCAGGCAGTACCTCTGAGGGAAAGAGATTGTCCTTCCTTCTCCCACAGAACAGTGAGTGGATTCAAGCTGCCAGAGGTGCTGCCTTCGGGTTAGCAGTGCAGTCCTGGAAATTGACTTGACAGCTGTAGGGGTTTATTTTGAGGGGTTAGTTTGCCATACCCTTTTTCTTGGTATTCTTATATTTTTGTATTTGCAATCCTATTCTGACTTTCTGAAATATTTATTTGCATATGAAATTTTCTTATTGGACCATTTAAAAATAATGCAATAAAGCTCTGCTTAAAGAGATCATGTAATTTCCGTCCAGATAGATAACTATTTTAACTATCTTATCCTGGTGTTTAAAAATTTAACATTGGTTTAATTGAAAGATATAATTATCTCTTTAAAAGCACATTGAATCTTACATCATTTTTAATGCTGTTTTTTAAAAAATCCAGACTTTGCGTGCACAGTAATGACCTCGCGTTTCCGATTGCCTGCCGGCAGAAACTATAATGTGCGAGCATCAGAGTTGGCCTGGGACAGACAACATACAGAAGTGGTTTGCAGTGTCCTTCTTCTGGATAACACTGTGCAAGTTTTCAGAGTTAATGTAAGTACTTTATGCATTTGCTTTTGTTCCATTTGGCACTGTGCTTATTGATATGGGCTGAAATGTGTCTTCCAAAAGTACGTGTTGCAAATCCTAACCACTATCCCTGGAAAAGAACTTGATAGTAAAAAACAGGAAGAGCCTCAGTGAAGTGTTGTGATATATTGGCTGCACCAGTGTGCTCATGGAGTGCAGCAGTTGATTGTGAAGAGTAGGGTGCATGGACACAGCAGTGTTGCAGTCACTAAGAGTTGGAGCCTGTAATTATAAGCTCATTTAAGGATAACGTTTTATTCAGTTGGTTAATTAACTAACACAGTATAGGGCTTATTAAAGTCCATCTTTTTCCAAAGAATGGATTATATAGGCACAATAAAGCAAAGGTGGGGGCTTGATTTCAAGGAGCTAAAGAAAGAAGCTGAAAAAAGACAAAAACCTTTGCCCAGACCTTGTGGAGAGAAAAAAACTTTCTCTAAAGACTGTACTGTAAATTGATAGAGCACACCACACCACCAGAGCGGTAAAGCTGAATATAGAGGTACCTTCAGATTAGAATTATTAAGTTATTGTTTAATCATAAAACTTGATTAAAACTTTATTTAATCAGGTCTTTAAATAAGTTTTCAAGTGGCATGGTTCGAAAGGTTTTGGGCTGCTAACCTAAAGAGTGGTTGTTCAAAGCTGCCAGGTGGAGAAAGATGGGCAGTTTCCTTGCAAAACATCTGTAGCCTCAGAAATCTGACAGAAGGCAGCCACGAGTTGGTATCGACTTGACAGCAGTAGATTTGGATTTGATTTTTAGTGCACATTTGTAACTCTTCTCACTGAAACTGACTCTTCTAAAAAGTGTTCCTCAGAGGACACTGTAAACACATGAGCAGTGTACTATGCTTAGTAGAGTACGTATTATCGATACTTTGTGGATTTTTTTTCTATTTAATAAACTTGAAAGGAATTTATTCTCCTAGGTACTTTTTACATTTATACTTTACTTTTCCTCATACTGTGAATCAAAACTTTGCTAAACAAAAAATAACAGTGCATATCTTATATATGAAACTCATGTGGAATATTTATTCAGCAATTATTTTTGTTTTAAGTGTAGATATTACCTTACTGCAATGAAAGGTCACTCTGGTGGTATTGTCTGTATTGATTTTCACCATAAACCAAAGACTTTGCCTCTCTGGTCGGAATCCACCAGTTGTGTCTGTGGGTGAAAGATGGAAACAGTCTCTTCACCTGGGATTTATGGTCTGGAAACCAGCTGGATGATCAGCTATGAGTTGAAACTGATTCAGTGACGGTGAGAGAGAGAAATTGTGAAAGAAATTAAGAACAGTAGTGATCCCATCTCACCTCAGCAAGAAGAGCAAAGTTCCTAAAAATGAGCAACAGATTCTAGCAAGTGTATGGAGAGATTGAAACTTTTATGCAGTGCTACGGAAGTTGAAAATGGTGCAGCCACTATGAAAAGCAAATTTGGTACTTCCTTAGAATGTTGTGAATAAAAATACCAGCAATCCCATTACTAAGTATATATCCCAGAGAAATGAGAGCTGCCACACACAATCAGATATATGCATGCCCATGTTCACTTCAGCATGAATTTATATTAGCAGAGAGTTGGAAACAATCCAAGAGTCCATCAGTGAACAGATGGCTAAAGAAATAATGATAAATTCTAATGATGGACCATTGTAATGCAGCACTAAACAATTATAAAGAACTTATGAAACACTGCCCAGCCTGGATAAATCTAGAAGAAATTATACTGAATGACATACAGACTCAGAAACTTCATTTCATTGCCATCATTTAGGTTCCAACTCATTGCAGGCTTCCATTGTGTTTCCATGATGGGTTTCCAAGACTGTCAGTTTTAAGTATTCGAGAGCTGAACGCCCATTTTTCTCCCAAGGAGTGGCAGGTGCCCTTTAACCACAAGAAGTGTGCAGATGTTTTGTTATTGGTACAGTTCAGTGTGAAATGCGCCACCAGAGTTCTCTGGCTGACTTAAGTCAGTCACAGAAGGACCATTATGGCATGAGACCACGATTATAAAAAGGTGCAGAGACATTTACATATAGTCGCATTCTTGTATGGTACCCATGTTTAAGAATGGAGGGAGAAGAGAATAAAAAAATAAGTAAATAAGTTAGTTGACATAAGGGCAATATAGTTAGTAAAGGATTGTTTGATACTAGTTAATGAATTGCATTAATCAGTTGTAATTAATGTTTTAAAATATGTATGAATTGGTGAGATGAGATGGACTGGCATGGGGCATTTTGAGTCGGATGACCATATGATATATTACTCTGGAGATGAAAAAGTGAGGAAAAATGGAGTT